ACAGCAGCAAACAAGCCATCATCAGGGTCAATAACTGCAACATGGAAATTAAAAAAAGTAATGTGGGGGGGAATAGTTTAGGGGCCTCTGGGATTACCTTCTCAAAATGGAAATAAGCCTTGCCCATACTCTGCCACCAAGAGGGAGCCTTTATTACTCCCTCCTGGCAGCAGCAATCAGACAGGAGTAGAGTCTGAAACTATAGGTCACGGTAAACTACATGTTGCTTGCAGATACTGTGGCAAGATCAAGCTACCTCAGGTTCAAAATTCTGCACTAATATGGAGACAAGGCAAGCGCCAGTAACTTTCAATTACATGGAATTTTGCAGTGGTGTTCCAATGTTTCGACCATGAAGCTTTCCAAGACTTTCATTAATAATAACGTCACTGATACGTCCTACCCCTGAAAAACAGCCCCTCATCCTTACATTCATGATGTTTTCTTAACTGCCCTTAGATGACATCATCAGGGCAACCTTACCTCTGTCCAAGGTAACAGAAGTGCAGCTCCTGAAATAGTAATGCTGTACTTCCTTATCCCCTTTTTAGTTTCTAAAAGATGTAATATTCTTCAAAGAAGAGTGTTACACACTAACACAAAACTCAAAATCTCATTCTTACCTGGCTGTTTTTTCTGGGGCTCCTCTTCTTGCATTTGCTGGCAAAATGGCAGAGTTCCATTAACATTTTCGGCATATTTTCCACCTCTAGGAGAGAAGTTATTTTGGGGGGAGTTAAATTCAGGCTATTCAATATTCTTTATATTACCTCTGGATTTAGGTCATGTCTCCCTGTCCTGAGCACTTTACCTGAAAGGAGGAGGTACCAGTTCAGGAGGCAGGGTCAATGGCAGAGGCTGCCCAGCTTTGGCCATGTCAGTTAGATGCATGGCTAACACAAACTCATCTGCTTTCAGCTGTCCATCTCCATCAATGTCAGATAGTGACCTAAATAAAATGGGAGAATGTCGTCGTCAGTGCAATTGAAAATCACTTGGAAGGGATAACTGAAATTAATTATTATAGAACAATTTCTTAAGGCATAGACCTTGTAGGGTGAACTGGTAAACAATCCCTCATCTTAGTAAAAACAATAGTGGATGAAAGAAAACTTTATTATTTTAATTTTACAGTTTAAATAAGAATTGGCTTCTATACAGCATACGTTGTCAAATGATTGCAAAGGCACTTCGCAAACATTAATTAGGTCAACATCACTATGCAGTACGTAAGTAAGTGGGGAAAATGAGGATGAGAAAGGCTAAGTGACTTGCCCAAGGTAACATGACAAGCAGAACTGGAAACAAAACCCTGTTCCATGTTCAAGCCACTCTCAAGATCACAGCACCCATTTTACTCTGCCTCAGTTCTTTTCTCAGGAGATAAAGCATTATCTAAATTTATGCTGTGATACTACAAAAGGGATCTTCATGCAGGGCTCCTTCCACCCTTGTGACCCCTAGCCTAGGATTCTCTCTCAACACCCCAGAGAGATCAGCTGATAATGCTGTGGGGGAAGGGTGAGCTGCTCCAGAGCTCCCTGCAACTGGCAGGTGCAGGATTAAATACGTCCAATCCCCAAATCCTGCTTTAATGGGTAGGCAGCATATGCACTAGTATCACTGTCGTACTCCTATATCAAACTTTGCTGAAGAGTGAAGGAAAGGAACATGTGGCTGTCCACAGAGATACAGGCAAGGAGCCTCCCTTAAAGAAAAGTGTGATGGGGCAGGTAGAAACAGTCCTTCAGAGCTGGCAACAAAGCATTGTGGGGGAGGGGAGAGGAGGAAATCCAACAAAAATCAGAAACAAAGTTGATAAACAGGTGATTTTTCTTCTATTTATTGACCAGCTCCGCCTATGGGCAATATTAAAAATGACTCTCTTCTTAATACCAAAATAAAAGATTGATAATTACTGACTTTGGGATAAATTGTGACTTGGACTGCATACCTGCAAAGAGGACCTAATTGGATGCTACATGGCTACAGCTGCTCTGAAGTCTCCACACCAAGGAGGAGGTTAATAGCACTTTCGCTGCACCCCCACAATGCACTACACAACTGTGAGGCATACTACAATTTGCTGCTGATGTGGGCCAGAAGCAAATGACTACCTCCTGGACAAAGGGGAAGCAGGGAGGGAACAGTGCTTCAGCAGGTTGTCTAATGCTAATCTAATCCACAAAGCTTTTGTGGATTCCTGTGAGAAGGTGAAGTTTATATATCACCCCGTACTCACAGCTGTGTTGAAAGGCAAGATCCAGCCCATAATGTACAGGAATTCAAAAACTTATTACCTAAGTCTTCAGAAGATTGTAATTGTTTCCAACACTATAACAACAACAAGCTTTAATCAACTGCAATGTACAACTATCTGTGTACAACTGTCACAAACCACTAATGGACTGAAGGAACGCTTTTGTTGTTGTTGTTTAAAGTAAATTTAGACTCAAATTTAAATTGACAAGTTTTGAAAACATCTCTGGGATTTGTTTGTTTTGATATTCTAATGAGAACTTATTTTTACCTAAAACGGTTGTTTCCTCAACAAATAAACCCTCTTCTTCTGTGTTTGCAATCCAAACAATGAAGCATTGAACCCGAAAGCAAAACTGACTTTGCTGATTTACACAATCCAGTATAAATAATAAATGGCAAACTGGACTTTTAAAACAGTGCAGTTTTAATCAATTATTAGCAAAATGGGTAAATAAAGTTTACTGGGTTTTAGAGCGTATGATTTTTAAATGGACCTTGTCCTTTAATACTTCTTGATGGCAGAGAGCAGATTACATTCCCCACCACAATTGTGTAAGCCTCTCATCAATCAGTGAGTAAACTTACCAAATGGTAGCCAGCTGAGTCTGAGAAAGGTTTGACTGCAGAAGGGCATTCCTTGCTTGAAATCCTTAGTGAAATACAGATTAAACTATTAAGAATTTTCATATATAAATCTATTTAGAACAAAAGACAGATATTATGTGATGTGTTGTACACTGGGGCAACCCATGTTTATTCTTAATTTGACTTCATCAGTTTGTGATGACCGTTTATTAAAGCTGGTAGTCTGTATACTGTATTATTTCTGTCTATTTTTAAAAACACGAACCACAGACATAATGATCACAAGTAGAGTAAAGAAATATCATTAGTGTCCTTGACCAACTTTTCTCATTCAGAAAATCCCACCACAGATTAACATAACAGTTTATGGTGATCTTCACAGCTATATGTAGAATGTAGCTGACTATTTGCAAAGAGTTAACACTGTTAATGTGAGGGCTACTTTCCTTCCCCTGCTAACAAACTATATAGATTGCTGGGAAGAAACCCTCAGTCTATAGGAAAAATGATAGTAAACACTTAGCACTTTTCACACTTAGATCCAAGTCCCTTAAAAAAGTGGAGAGGAGTTGTTCCCATTTTATAGACAGAGAAACTGAGACACAGTCAGATGAAGTGACTTGTTCAAGGTGATACAGCAAGTCAGTAGCAATGCCACAAACTGAACCCCAGGTTTACTGACTTCTTGTCCACTTCTGTATCCACTGGACCACAATAATCCTTTGGTGATCTACTAAATAGATATTTTATGGAACTCCATTCTTTTAGTAACTTTGAGTGGAACTTTTCAATAGCATCGAAGTGATTCAGGAGCACAACTCCCATTGAAAGTAAATGGGACTTGTGCTCCTAAGTCATGTAGGCACGTATGAAAAACTCATCCCTTAGCATCTGTGGGAGTGAGGCACATTGCTTGTATTGTTTACAAACAAAACAAAGAAAATAAAAAGCAGGCATTTGAGCAATTTCTCCTGTGTGTACACAGTACAATACATGGCACAAAAAGCATTTTGCACGTGTCCTTTATTTCACAAGTCATTTTTAAAATACATTCAGCCTTAGATGGGGTGACTGCAGAGCCTTTGCTGCTGTCGTGAGTGTTAAAATGAATGAATCAAGAACCATACAATAATTTACCTCACGTTTTCACTACCCGCTCCCTTCTTTTCTCCCCGCCTCTAGCCCTTCTTTCCCATAAGTGTTTCTGGAATGCAACACTTAAGTCAAATTTTCAAACCCACAGCGTGCATGTGATTATAAATTTAAACAAGTTACTGCCACTATTGCTAGGCTAGATTTTTAGGAAGGTAAGGTGGGGAGAGATTTATTTATTCCCCAATACATATCATATGCAACCCGTTAGCTAGTGTTTTTTATTTAATGTAATCACCCTTAGGGAAAACTGTTTTAAATTACAGTGGGAAAAAAAAGTGAGAAGACATGCTAGTCTGTAGAACCCAAGCAGTTTGAGAGATTTGTAGAACCTCAAACTCCGTAAGATCTGTGCCCCCTTATTATTTTTCCAGTAAGGACGGCAGGCTAAATGATATATAAATACTGGGATTATCCCTTAACCATTTTTTAAGTCCTCCAACACTGACTATCCTCCAGGTATTCACAAGTGTGGCTGTATTTATTATTAAATAGCATATTTTTGTTATTCAGTTACTTCTGCATTTTGGCCCTTCAAAACGCTAAAGTGAATGCTATCCAAGGCTGCAACTTTAGGTCATAAACAATGTTCTCTCTAATTTTTTATATCCAGGTGCAGAATGAATTTTATTATGTGCACCAATATGGAGGTGATGTGTGGCAGGAGTGGGGCCGAGGGGTTTGGAGTGTGGAAGGAGACTCAGGGCTGGGGCAGAGGGTTGGAGTGTGTGCGGGGGGAGTGAGGGCTTTGGCTTGGGTTGTGGGCTCTGGGGTGGGCCAGAATTAAGGGTTTGGGGTGCAGGAGGGGGCTCAGGGCTGGGGAAAAGGGTTGGGGATATGGGGTGGGGGGTGAGGGGTTCAGGGTGTGGGAGGGGGGCTGCAGGGCTGGGGCAGATTGTTGGAGTGCGGGGGGGTGAGGGCTCCAGCTGGGGGTGCGGACT